AGAGAGAGAGCACAAGCAGGGGGAACGGCAGAAGGAAAGGGCTCCCACTGAGCCGGGAGCCTGACAGACGTGGGACTCGATCCAGGATATTCCAGGATCATGACCTAAGCTGAAGGCAGAGGCTAAACCAACGGAGCCACCCAGGCACCCCAGGAAAACACTTTTTTAAAAAAATAAAATAATTTTTATTGGTGTTCAGTTTACCAACATACAGAATAACACCCAGTGCTCATCCCGTCAAGTGTCCCCCTCAGTGCCCGTCACCCATTCACCCCCACCCCCCGCCCTCCTCCCCCTCCACCACCCCTAGTTCATTTCCCAGAGTTAGAAGTCTTTATGCTCTGTCTCCCTTTCTGATATTTCCCACACATTTCTTCTCCCTTCCCTTATATTCCCTTTCACTATTATTCATATTCCCCAAATGAATGAGAACATACACTGTTTGTCCTTCTCCGATTGACTTACTTCACTCAGCATAATACCCTCCAGTTCCATCCACGTTGAAGCAAATGGTGGGTATTTGTCGTTTCTAATGGCTGAGTAATATTCCATTGTATACATAAACCACAGCTTCTTTATCCATTCATCTGTCGATGGACACCGAGGCTCCTTCCACAGTTTGGCTATTGTGGACATGGCTGCTAGAAACATCGGGGTGCAGGTGTCCCGGCCCTACGACCCAGCAATTGCACTGTTAGGGATTTACCCCAAAGATCCAGGAAAACACTTTTGTGATGAGCTCTCAGAGCCCAGCCTAGAGGACCTGCCTGAAAGGAGGGTGCCTCCACACTCCACAGAGACTCGGACTCCATAGAGAATGAACATAGATGACAGTTTTCTCCAAAGCTCCACCTGCCTCCACTTGCATGACCTCTGTGCCTTTGCAAGTGTTCTCTCTGCCTATAATCCCCTTTCTTCTCTTACTGGCTCAGCAGTTCTCCTGTCCTGGAAGGTGATCACATACAACATGGTGTATTAACAGTGCTTTTCACAGCACCAGGCACAAAGCGGATGCTTTGAGAAAGACATTAGCTGAAAGTGACAGAAGGAATGAAGGCTGCAAGCTGCCCCAGCTAAGAGTGCATTAGGAGAAGACATGGGGGAGGATGCCCGGGTGGCTCAGTGGTTGAGCGTCTGCCTTTGGCTCAGGTTGTGATCCCGGGGTCCTGGGATCAAGTCCTGCATCAGGCTCCCCGTAGGGAGCCTGCTTCTCCCTCTGCCTGGGTCTCTGTGTCTCTCATGAATAAATAAATAAAATATTTTTTAAAGGAGAAAACATGAGAAATAAGAGGGCATCTTATGTGAAGGGCAGAGGGTCCCAGAGACATGTGGCAGAAAGCCAGTATGGAATCACAAAGGGCAAAAGGCAAGCCATGAGTGGAGATGCAGGAATGAGAACATGACAGGAGTGAAGAGAGAAGGGAATTGTGTGGGCAGCTGCTTGGTGACCTCTTACAGGGACGTTTCTTCCTGTCTGTCCAGGAGGCCTGGCCACATGTACTTGACCTGGTCTTTACAGGTGCATCTCACTGGAGGACGGGGTCCTAGGAGCCTCCCTCTCCACCTGGGAAGCCTTCCTGGAGCCCCTGGTGACAGGAGAGGTCCAGGGAGGATAATACAGGGACACCATGGTGGCTCTGTAGGCCCAGACACAGCCTGCCCACTCCACCTTCCAATAGGAAATAATCCCTGTTCCCTTCACTGGGAAGTGTGCTCCAGAAAGGATGCTGGCCCACTTGCTTCCTGAGCTGCCCTTGGTGACAAGAGGGCCAACGGTGCTTTGGGACTGCCTTCCTTCCCTCTCATCTCTCCATGGTTGCAATTTACAGGTCCCTGGGGACATCTCAATGATAAAGAGTGGTTCCTTCTGGGCCCTTGAAGAAGACCAAGGATTTGCAGCTTGAAATCCAAGCAGAACCATACATATTACCTTCTTGGCTTCTTCCTTTGCTCCTAGCCTCCTCCCCAAGTTCCTGGAGTTCCCAAACCCAGCTATATGTTCTACAGCCCCCCTGTCCAGACTCCAACCACCTCTCAGGGAGATCTCAGGAACAAAATGATGACACACTTACCCAAGTCAACTTGAAGTAGCCAGAAAAAGGGCTGCCTCAGGAAGCAAGTGGTGCATAGCAGAGTCCTGGGGACTCCTGTGATTCTCTAATTGGTGGAATTCAGGATGTGGACTTTGGGGAACTTAGAGTGGAGAATGTGGGGTTGAAAGTGATTTAGCCTTCAGCTGGCATCTTGTGTCTCTTGGCTGAAGACATTGTCAAGCTGATCCCCCCCCCCAGGGAGTTTAGGGGGCCTGCTGGCCTTCCCCAGGATTGGATCCCAGCTCTTTCTCCTTCCACTGGAGCAGTGGTGAAGCTGGTTTGAGTCATAACTCCATGCTCTGTCCACCCTGCTGTGCCCCAGGCCACAGCCACTTCTTTCCCCTAACCCAGGCCCTCTATGACCCAAGTGTCTGAATGTACCAGATTCTCTCCTTCACAGCCCTGCTCTTCAGAAGCCTGCCCTCCACACAATCACTTTGGAGCCAGTGTGAATGTTGAATTGGACAAGCCACCAACTTATCAGAAGGATGGTACAAATCCAAGGTAGTCTTCAAAACCATGTTATATGCTGATGTTTCTGGGACACTGTAACATGTACCCGCTCCAAAGCCACATGGATGTGCTTTCTGGCTTATTTAGGGTCATGCTTTTTCAATTCTGTGCCATTTCATGCCTTTGAATAGGGAACATTAGGAATCTGTAGTAAGATGGCCCTGAAATTTGGTGGTGAATCAAAATTTGCTAGGGGAGATGATGTGGGCATCATCCTGTGTATGGCCCAGAATCTTTCCTCAATGTCTGGGTAACTCATGGGTCTGTGCACACAGGCCAGTAAAGCTTTGGGCCTTTGGTCAGGGCGAGACACTGAATGAGAGGTCCGGCGTTGGCAGTACATTGGCAGCAGGGTCTTTTGCACTTGCCAGAGAGAGGACAAGAGGGACACCTGGATATTCTGATTTTCATTTCCATGAGTGCACCAGTAGAGTACAGGGCTGGGCCTCCTGTGAACCCAAGGCAGTCCAGATACATCCACTTCGTGAGGATTGGTGATGTGAGGCCTTGGAATAGTCCAATGCTTCCCTTATGTTCCCATGGACAGGCCTATAAGCTCCCCTCAGCAATTTGGCTCGTTAGAGCAAAAGATTACAACAATTGGTTTGTACATTAGTGTTCTGTTCCTCAGGCCGGGCAGCCCTCATATCTGGTCATGTCTGGGGGACTGTGAGCTGCAGAGCTGTGCATCAGCTCTGGGACTCCCTGGGACCTTACCAAAGTAGTGCCTGCCCTCAAAACTCTGGCCTCTAAGCAGCCTACTTGGTCTCGGTCGGTGAAGTTTTTGAAAGGGCAAGAATAGCTGTTGTTAAAGCATCTTAGCACAAACCATCTTAATGCCTGTTTATGGGAGGTCACTGGTAATTAAGATGGTGTTGGCAAGTACTTCTTTGCAGAGTGCGGGCTGCAGTTCCAGCAGCCTCCCACTTACCTGTACTAGCTGGGTAGCCCAAGACATACCATAGAAACCTCTCTGTGCCTCAGCTTTCTCTTCTGTATTTAAATGTTCACTGAGAACCTCCTCAGGGGTAGACACTAGACTGTACCCAGAGGATGGGTAAGGGAGCTGGACCAAAAAGCCTGGGACTGGTTTCTGGTGCTTCAGCAGCTGACAAACCTGATTCAGGTTACTCATCCTTAAAAGCAGCTCCTGTGGTAATATCTATTCTCCAGTGGGTTTGGGAAGCCTAATTATCACTTGTGAAATGTTTTCAGTTTCTCAGAAGAAAGATGATACATCATGACAAGGTATGACTATCATAATAACTGTGATCTTCTCAAGCTGCCCCCAGGGCTAACCCATATAAAAATTGCCATTCATGAAACTCTGTTATTGTAACAAAGTACAACTATTATCCATAATGATGCTAGACTAATGTATAAGGTATTGCTGTGCTCATGGAAAGTCTTAAATAAGCCGGAAGTGAAGAAGGTAGAGTAGGTCACCTGCTGTGAACTTGTCCAGCTCTCGAATTCCAAAAGTAAATAGACTCTTTGAGGAGGTAGGGCCTGGGAAGAGCGCTAGAGAGTAACAACACTCCCTGAGCACCTGGCGTGAGCCAAGCAGTGCTATGCATGCTATGCCATCAAAGTTTAGGAAGTTGGTTTTATCATCTCCATTTTGCAGAGAAGAAAAATTGAGGCGTAAAGATGTTGACTTGTCTAAGGGAGATGAAGCTAGCAGTTATAAATAGGATGGCCAAGAGTGGAGGAAGAGTCCAGGTGGGAAGTGACCACAAAGCCTAGGCAGGGGCCAAGGAGTCTCTAACTAGGTTAGCAAATGGGAGGATGACTACCCGATCCCCAGCGTGGCATGCCCCCATGAATAGGTCTGCTGCCAACAGAGAGGGCAGCCCAGGAGGAGAAGGCGGTTGGGAGGAAAGATGACTGTGGCACAGGGTAACCGGAGTGTGGGACCGCCCAGCAGCATGTGGCCATATGCTGGTCTGGGCCTTGGGAGGGAAGTTGAGATGCAGACTTGGGAGTCACCGACAGGACACGTGAAGCCTGGGGTAAGATCGCCAAAGCGCAACGAGTCCCCGTGGCCGCAACTCCGCCAGCCCCACCGCGAGTCTCCGGGGAAATCTCCCGAAGGCAGCGCGGGCTAAGGTGACGGGCGCCTGCGAAGACCTTTCCGGGTGGTGCGCTCCTTTCCCGCAGGACTGGACCGAGCCGCCTCGCCCGGGCTCCCCGTCTCTCACAGCCTCCACGGCCCCCGCACGAACCCGGGGCCGCGTGCCGCCAGTTGTGAGGGCAGCGTCGCACGAGGCTCGCTCGCGGCACTTCCCCGGCCGACGGGGCGGGGCTGGGCGCATGCGCCGCCGCCGTACGGAAGCCCGGAAGGAGGGGCGGGGGGCGGGGGCTCAGGTTTCTCCGGGCGGCGGCGGCGGCGACGAAGGTGGTGACGGCGACGGAGGTGGTGACGGCGGCGGCGGTGGCGGCAGCGGGGACACGGCTCGCGCTGGCACCATGAACCCGCTGTAACGCGCAGGCTGCGCGGCGCGGGGGGAGGGGGGAGGAGGAGGCCGCCGCGGCGAAGTTCTCCGCCATGAACCTGAGGGGCCTCTTCCAGGACTTCAACCCGAGGTGAGGCGCCGCTGGGGAGGCGCGGCGGCTGTGAGGCTGCGGCGGGCGGCGGGGTAGCTCCCCGCGGTGCGAGCGGCGCTCGGGGCAGCACTTCCCGCTCCCGCGCCCGGTGCCTTCAGCGCCCCCACCCCACCCCACCCCACCCCGGGCCTTGGCCCCGCGGGAGCCGGGTTCCTCTTGGCCAGCCCACCCTCGCTGCTGGCCCAACGCTCCCCTGGCGTCCCCTCTTCCCGCACCCCGCTGCCTGCCCTCGGTTCCACGCGCCGGGGCCCTGTCGCTTGACCCAACACCCCTACTGCCCCCCCTCCCAACTGTTTCCTCCAGTTTCTCTGAGCCCTTGAGGTTTTCTTTGGATGTATGCCCACCCCTCGCTTGTTTGCTGCTTTGTCGGGTGATATCTGAAACGACGTTGAATCCTTGGAGTCGGTATCAGGGTATGGCAATACCTTACATAATGCCTCTGGGGGTGAACCTGACGATTTTCCGTGCGCCGTTTCTCATCAGTCTTCACTGTAAGTTTATTTGCAGGAAGTAGATATTGCCGTCCTGCTTCCCAGCTGGGGAATATCCAGTGGACTATGTGGAGAGAACACTGACTAAGGAAGGAATCCAGCGCCTGTCCTTGCACTTGCCCAAGTGTTCTGTAACTCTGTTCCCTCCCCCAGGCTGTGCGCTCCCTGAAGCTGAGACCCATCTCCTGCATATCTCACTATTCCCAGCACCTCCCACGGTGGCGGCGGCATCTGAAACAGAGCAGGCCCTTATAAAATGTTTGTGGAACTAAACTGAGCCAAAAGACCTGGATTGAAGACCAGGCCCCATGTGACTGGGTTACATATTCTCTCCTCATCTGAAGAATAAGGAGTTGGCCTAATTGATCTTCCAAATCCACTAGTTTGTGAAGAGATACCTGTTTCCCTTATTTGCTGGTGGGAAGCTGTGCCCTCAATCAGCCTTTTGTATGCTAGGTCCCATGCGAGGTGCTTCAGATGCTGGGAGGTCCCAGTTTAGGGATGGAGTAGGATATGTAAATCGATGATTTACAGCACTGTGCAGTGTTGCACTGTGGGAGCCCTGAGGAGACCACTGCCTGGGTTGTTTGTGGGGGATGAAGGGAAGTCTTGGGAGAGACTGTTAGGAGTGCAGACTCCCTGGGGACACTGACATTTTAAACTACAAGCCATTGTGACTTCCTAGGTGCTCTTATACCTCTTTGAGCACTACTGAGTTCATATTCTAGTCTGGAGTGCCAATGTCCCTATCACAGTGTAGTCATTATCATTGTTGGCCTCAAAGGCATTTTGCATAGAGGAGCGTGTTGAGAGCAAGTGAGGGAGAAGGACTGCAGCACCTTCCTCTGCTAATCCTAGGGCTGAGGATTGATCTACAGGGTAGCAGGATTGGGGCTGGAGCTGGAAGGGCTGTGTGTGTCTACATTGTTTGGCGAGGGTGGTAAGAAAGATAAGTAAAACCTGAATTGTTTTGTATCCTTGGGCCACTTGCTTATCTGCTTTATCTGTACAATGAGTATGATCTCAGCAGGATGGGAAGCCAAATTAATGATTGATTGCAAAGTGCTTTACAAATAGATAGTTCCAGCACTATTTTGCAAGGCGACAGATAATTCAGAACCCAAGAACTGCCTCAGGTGTTCTAACTAGCTGACAGTTGCCAAAGCACAATAGTGCTGCAAAGATAACATCCTTCACCACTTTCTTTTCCTGCAGCCCCTTCACCACCCCCAAAAATTGGTGTATGGAAATTACAATGAAATATTAGTTATCTAAAAGGATTTATAGTAATCATCAATATATTTACCAACACTTTAATTCTACTGGGATTGAGATGTATCTCTAAGTTTATAGACCTTTTATAGGGCATCATTTTCCTGATACAGTGTTGCTTCAGTGGGAGTGAGTCCTGTTGCCTCCCAGTGGTGACTGCTAAGACAGTGGCCAGGTAATATTGGCAGGTCTGTTGTGTCATGCCTCGGGGGCACACCTAGTTTTTGACATTGTTCTTTAGTCTTGTTCCATGCTGAGGAGGACCTTCTAGACAACTAGAGTGCAAACCAAGGGGGCGTAGACAGGAAGATACCTTGTGCCAGGGTCTCTAACCTTGGTGCTGCTGCCTTTCTCCCTGCGTCTGATTTGGAGCCAGTTCAACATCCCCCTGGGTAGAAACCCCAGGACGTCGGCACATGCTGTTCTCTTTGCCAGGAATGTTTCCCTCTCCTCTCCTCTCCTCCTGATCTAGTTAATTCTTATTTATCCTTGAGAACTCAGCTCACTTGTTACTTGCTGAGGGAAGCCTTTCTGACTTAATAGGTCCACTGATATCTGTTTATACAGTCTCCGTAGTATGCTGAATTCTTCCATCATAGCAGTTATTTGTACCCTTATATTTGTGTGCTTATTTGATTAATGCCTTTCTCCCCTACTAAACTATAAGCTTCATGGGGCCATGGCCATGATTTCTGTCCATTATGTTATCCTGCATACCTGGAATAGCACCTGACTCAGTAAATATTTACAAAATGGATGGATGACTCTCCAGAGCCTATAGGAGAAATCTAAAACAGCTTCTTCCAATCATGGCTTTTCTGGTGGTCTGTGGCTTGGTTCTCTTTCTTCTCGTATTCTGCCTTCCTTCAGAATGCAGTCATTCCATTAGAGAGACAGGAAAGACCGTGACGCTAAGGCAGAACGTGGCTGCCTTTACTCTGTGGATTATGTGTGTCACAAAAATAGTCACTGTCATGGTTTTGTGGGTCCCACGGCATGGGCCATGGCTCCAAATCTCCTTTCCAGTCTTTTGATCTTGATGAGTCTGAACCCACTGCTGTACTGCCAGGGCTCTGGAAAACTGCAGTAACAGACAATGATTCACAAATGTCAGCGCTCAGATGCACAGGGCTGCCAGCTGACCCTCTGCCTATTTCCATCTGGCACAGAACTGGTTGATCATGAACTTCTTTTTAGTTACGCAGGTTAAGACTCGCTGAAACAGGCACACTGGACCCACCAAGTCCTTCTCTGAATGCCTGATGCTTTCTAACATAACAGTGAGGGAGCCTTCTTCATTGAATAGGAGACTATCAGTAGTGTACAGAATTGGCAGACTGATTCTGAGGTGCTTGTAGGAGGTGGGGATCTGGGAGTAGGTGGCATTAAGCCAGCACCCTGGCCACACTTTGGAGCCTTGATATTTTCTGCTAACTTGCTGGAGTTGCTGGCTTGGAGAAGGCCTTTCAGCCATTGTAGCCCGGCAGTGCTGGAAGGCTGTGAGAACTCTGCTAGGCCTTCTGAATCATCTGCAGTGAGCTCCTGACACTGGTACATCCCACAGGTGTCCTGGTCTGGGATGAAAGCTGAGGGATGCTGCTCATGGGAGCACGGAGTACTAAGGAAGTCAGTAGTGTTTAGAAGTTTCCATATGCCACAACTTCTAAATCCATTCTGTTGTCTGTGTAAGTTATCTTGTCTCTTCTTTGAATTTAGGAAAAATGGATGTGATTTCTGGTAGCTGTTAACAAAAGGTAGCTACCTGGCCTTTACCAGTCATTTATAAAATATTTATATTTAAAGCATTCATCAAACATCTCCCAAGTTCCTACTGTGTGCCAAGAGATGCTCTAGGTGTTTCTAAGTACAGAAACAATTCCTCTCCATGCTCAAGCCTGGCAGTAGAAGCAGAAATTGGAAGAGAAGTTAAAATTCACCACAGAAACAGGCATTCCAGAGATGGGAACCAAATGCTGTGGAAGCACGAGGGGTAGAGCCACCAGTTCTGGCAGAACAGTCAAGGAAGGTTCCATGATGTGATCCTGAAGGGTATAATTGTAGGGTTTTGTCAGACAAGAGGGCAGGCATGTTAGGAGGGACAGAGGATGTAGAGGCACAGGGTTCCTGAGAGGGCCTGGTATGCTCAGACGAAATGTCAGTGTGGTGGCAGCATTGCAGGTGGCACATGTCCTATGATTTAAAAATAGTACATGTGGTATTAATAATGATTACTGCAAATATTATTTACATATTACTTTTTTTGTTTTAAAGTCGGCTCCAGACCCAAAGGTAGTGAGCGTATATTGGTTCTTTTCATGACCTATTCACCCACCACCCAAATTTCTGTTTGTTTACCTGTTATTCTGTCATCGCAAGCCACCTAGAGTAAGGAAAACCTCTCAATTATGCTGAGGTTATTATTAATCATCGGTGTGACTTATGGGGCACCTAGCATGGGTTGGGCATTATCTCACATCTTTGCAACAACCCTGCAAGTTAGATGATCAGCCTTGTTTTGCAGTCTTAGAGACCTTGCGACATCCCTGAAGTCACACAGGCAGCAAGGGGCCAGGCCAGGATTCTGACGTGAGTCAGTTGATCTTCTGAAGCCTGTGCTCATTCCTGCGTGCCATGCGACCTCTCTAATTTAGAGACAGGCCTGCCCATGACACAATGGGTCCAACATCCCAAGGAGCCTTCTATTTATGAATTGTGATTACACAAAGCAAAACTTATATCTAAGCTTACACATCCAAATGAATATTATCCCTCTAAGAAGTTACTTAGGAAAAAGAAATATGTATCTACCAATTCCACTACTCATATTCCTTGTTACTCATCTGAAATTTCCTTCAGAGTCAGATTACAAATCATATAAGGAAATCTGTCTCATTGCTTAATAATCATGGATCATTTTTGAACGAAAATAGTGCCATCTAGTTTGATCATGCATCTTATTCACTAAACTTGGCTCTGACTGACTTTTGGCCATTTCCAAAAATTGAATTCACTCTCAGTGAAGAGTTGGCACCATTGAGGATATTCAAAAGAAGAGACTGCAGGTTCTCAAGGCGATTCCAGGAGGAAAGCTCTAAAGGTGGTTTGAACAATGAAGTGGAATTAGCTCATTGCCTCCCAGGGGGACTGTTTAAAGGCGACAAGTCCCATTTGAATGCATAATTTCTGGTTTTAAAAATATCATTCCCATTACTTGAT